GAATTTAATGAAAAACACAATTATTTTAATATGTTTATCACAATTATTAGGGCCCGAGCACAGAGGACCCTATTGTTTTTGCTCCGTTTATTATTATTATTCTTCTCCAAAGTGTATCGCTTATTTGAGGGCCTAAACATGCTCGAAAACTCACGAAACTATGCAGTGGTGAAAATTTACATCTGGTATGGGTTTCAGAATTGGGTGGGGCAAAAGGGCAAAAAGTGGGGCAAACAAATATTTCGACTAATTGCCCCTGGCGCTACGTTTCAGGTACGTGGACGAAATTAGGTACATATATGTAATGACCCAATACCTACTAAAAAGTCTCTTGGAGCATAGCCCTAAACACAACCTAAAGCCGCCAGGTGGCGGTGGCACGGGTGCTTGCTTGCAGTTCTGGTGTTGCTAGGCAACCGCAGACAGCCTGCAGTAACTCAGCCATACAATGTCCAATCTGCCCCAAACTTCACATGTTTGATATGAGCCCTGTCCTGAACACATTACCATGCTCATATTTGGTTATAGTAATAGCGCTACCTGCTAGTAGCAGGAAGTTTGGCAAATAAAAATTACTTTAACATAGTCTTCCTATATTTACGTACTGCCCACCGCCGGGTACCGCCGGGTGCCGCCGGGTGCGAGGGCCCTTTTCATCGCTGCTTGCAGCTTTAATTTGTTATTGTTTTTATATGAATAGTATGACTTTTAGAGAATATAAAGGTGTCGGTGTGATAAACAACAACAACAATAAAATATATATATATTTTAAACTCTCATATTCATTCATGAACATGTATTATTGATGTTTGTAATTTTTGGTGTTAATTTTTTTTTGTATTGGGTGTATGTATTTTGTCTCAGAAGTGTGTGTACTCACCCCAAAGTAATTAAAGAATTTCTTCAGTTCTTTTCAAATTTCCATTGGAATAGTTAAATCTTAGACATTTGAGAAAACACTATAGTGTTTTCGGTAACACTTTACAATACGGGTGCACTTATACGCATTCATTCATGTTTAACTAATGCACAGATAGTCATGAGTTTAAAGCTGTGTCCCAATGTGAAGGCCGCATCCTCTGAAGGCCGTATTTGAAGGCCGCTTGGCCGTATTTGAAGGCTGATTGCGTCACAGGGGCGCGACGAAGGACGTCCCAATTCAAAGGCTGCACCCTCAGAAGGTCGCATTTGAAGGCCGATTGCATCATCGCAGCGCGATGAAGGCTGTCCCAATTCAATTCTGCGTCCTCCGAAGGCCATATTCGAAGGCCGGTTGCGTCATTGCGGCGCGACGAAGGCTACCCTGATTCAAAAGCGACGCCAAATGCACCCTTCGTTTCCCCGTGAAAGAGAGGATACATAAATGGATCCTAAGCGGGAAAAAATAATGAATCCTTATTTTGAAAATTAAAGTAACAAAATGTAGGTTGTCACAATATTAACAAATTGTTACTAATTTGCTACATGTCCGGTCCCCTCATATTTCTGATTGCTAAAAAAAAAAAAAAAAAGACTTTAGGAGGCAAAATATTTTTTTTGTGATTATTTTTTATTTATTTTATTTTATTTAACCTTTATTTATCCAGGTAAACTGTTTGAGAACCACTTCTCATTTACAAACATGACCTGGCCTAGATGTGAATTACACTGCGCAAACCAAAGTAATAGGCTATAGGCCTACCCACCGGATGAAAAAGGGTTGGCTCTCAGTCTCCACAGTACATAAAATATTCATTTTATTTTATTTTTCGTGTTCGCATTTATGAGGAAAAAAACAATGTTGCGGATGTGTTCTCCGTTACGTACGTGAGCGCTCTGGAAGCGGCACTAAAAGATGCTTTAAAACTGTCACAGAGACATCAAACAGAAACCACAAAACCTTTAATTAACCTGAATTTCGTTTTGTATTAATTGTATCTTAATTTTAATCAATGTTTCATCAACCAATTGCCTGGATTTAATAAATAAGAAGTAAATATAGCAGACGATAGATAAGAATTGGAGGCGCTGGCGCGTGAACTGGAGCTCGTCTCATAAATTAACCGAAACTCAGCATATAAGGTAGCCTACTTGCCTCACATGTCTACTTTTAAACAGAACAATTCAAAACGAAAGAAAACAGACTACAGACTGATCTCTGCTTATGTAATCCTTATGAAATGTTCATTTCTCTCTGGCACGTTCACTACTGAAGATCGCGAGTCAGCATCGTCAACTTCATCTTAGCCGACAAAGAAAACACTTGTTTATTAATAAACAATTACAATATCTTCTTGCTATATTTTACATATTCATAATCATACTTTTGCCGGTTCTTTGTGACAGCTTTTAGGTGCTTTATTGCCGGCACCCTTACATGTTACATGAGTTGCCACCGCATCACCGCACCCACCAGAATAGACCTGTATATAAAATTCTGGCTATATATATATATATATATATATATGTATGTATGTTGCCCCCTCATTTAAAGACGGGACCCCCAAAAAATAAAAATCTGGCTACGCCCCTGCTCCCATGTCCTCCAGTAAAATATAAAACAAAAAAATGACAATAGCCAATTCTGGCTTTATAGCTGTTTACTCAATTTTATCAAATGAATCATCAGGATGGCAGCTGTAGCCTACTCTCGCACTGTTGCTTGGCGCCTGGAGCGGTAATCGGGAACACCTGGTTGCGCAATTAGGAAATCCCACGAAGGCTACATGATGCGTCCTTCGAAGGACGGATAGGCTGCATCCTTCGAAGTCCGCGGCCTTCGAAGGATGCAGCCTTCACATTGGGACACAGCTTATGTATGACTCATGAAGAACTAAACCATTAATTAATTATTACTGCATCAGCAACTAATAAAGAGTCTATATGATTAATAGATTAAGTAATACATGAATTGCTATTAATTCAATGTGTCATTGTGTATTAATTCCTTAATAACATATTTTATTAACTAATAGTGTAAATAAATGTGTTAATTACCACAATTAGTCAACTCTATGCACATCAACTTCCAGTTGTCTGCTTTAAATAATCTTTAGCAAATGATTTGCAAATGTATCATTATGTTATGACTTTACTTGTTGAGGCACATGACTATTAAGAAAACATGGTAACACTTTACAATACGGGTGCACTAATATGCATTAATTCATACTTAACTAATGCACAAATAATCATGAGTTAATGTATGACACTTGAGTTTTTTTTTTGTTAGTTTTTTATTGAAAGGATCCCCATTAGCTACAGCCGTGCTGCAGCTATTCTTCCTGGGGTCCTGAAAAATATGTACATTAAAAATACAACAAATAAATAGAGAAGGGGAATATACAAACACATACACATATACACATACATATACACATGTATATACACATATCAACGTACATATATACCCTCATATGGGCATGAAATATACACATATATAAAAACACATTCTACACATACACCTATAAACATACCTACACATGTACATCTACATACATATTCCCACACATATATAAATAAATATAAACAGTCAGATATATTATTTTGATAGATGCTGTTTTACATATAATTTAAATTTATTGACATTATTAGTAAGCATGATATGTTTTGGCAGTTTATTCCATTCCTTCATACCTCTGAACACAACAGTGTTTTTTTATGGCATTTGTCCTTACTATAGGTAAGGTGAAGTTACCTTTAGTTGCATGTCTGGTACTGTACTGATGATTGTCTACACTAAAAGAAAGCTGCTTGAACAAAGCAGAAGGAAATTTTGAGATAGAAATATTTCTTATGAAAATTAACTGTGAATACAACAGTCTATCTTCAACCATCAACCAATTAAGATCTTTGTGCAGTAATATAATATTTCTCCTATAGCTGCACCTAAGTGCTACACGAGCAGCTCTATTCTGTATAAGTTGTAATGTATTCATATATTCACCAGTGGCATTTGACCAAACTGCAAAACCACCCTTGCAACTTTAATGGTTTAGTAACTAAACCATTAAAGCAGCACTAAGTAGGAATTCCGTTTTTGTCAAACAGCGACCCCTAGAGTCGCTGTGGAGTACTTGTACTGTCGTGAATAGCACTCACGCAGAGATGGCTTGCACTCACGCCCGGATCCCCTCCCCCTGTACACCGGTACCTGTTCAGTAGGATGGATGCTGTAACGAGTGGAAATAAGGTATGGCCCCTTTAAGAGCTGCGCGCGCCCTGTTTAACTGTCGGCAGTCTGTATTGTATGTGCGCCTCGAACACCACATGTATACGCCGCCGGGTTATTTCTGTTTGATGCTCATTTTATCAGAATTTTATCAGATCTGTTTTTTTTGCCGTAAAGCAATTCGTTACCTCGCGAGACCTGATATCACACGATACTTCCTAACACTGAAGCCGGCGGCCCGCCTGCCCAAAGTTGCAAGGGTGGTTTTGCGGCTCACAGGCACCAGGGGGGTGCGAGACGACCACCATTCAAAACGAAATCAGTAATATAAACATTACAATGACTCCAAAGCTGTTCGGTGAAGGTAAAAAAGTTAATTAGTTCACCTTTAATAAATGATTACTGCATCAGCAACTAATAAAGAGGAAAGACATATTGCCTTAATTTTGCATTACCATATTTGATTTAAGCTACAAGCTCAGAAGTGGGGTTTTTTCTCTTTTGTCAATAGGCGATGCCTTCAATTGACTTAATAGCACCCTCATTTTATCTGAAACAATAAGGCCTGTTAAGATTGCAGAACCTATTCTGTCCTTCCAAAAGGTAATCCTGCCTCAAAGCCATACCCATTAAGGAGAACAACAACAAATAACAGTCATAATAATGGCAAGCTGTTGTCCTAGGTATCAGGGGAGGGGAGTGGGGAATATTTAAGAGAGGTAGCATGACCTAAATCAGAAGAGGGGGAGCTATAAGAATAACATTTATAAAGCCTTTGCGCATGCTTTTATATAATTTAGGCTTCATTTTACAGACATGAAAAACTAAAAGAGAAATAGATTTGCTGCTCTAATGTTTAGCATGTTTTAATACTTTATTAAATCTCCAAGCTTACTTTGGTGCAGATCTGAGCATAAAATGCAAACCACATTTGAAGGTTAAAGGACACTATTTATGCTTAAATGTATGTATATATATTTGCTTATATTGTTAATTGCTTTTGTAAACATGTTTTCTGTGCATTAACTGTAAACTGTTCAACTAAACTGTAACTATGAACTGTTTTTATGTATTCAAAGCAAACTTTGATCCAAGGAATGGACGTCAGGACATTCAACTTCTCTCACCAGGAACTCTACTTGATTGGATTCACGGATCTGCAAGAGTATCGGCAATACCTTTTCATTCCTTTTCTTGTAATCTTTGCTTTCACGTTGTTCGCAAACTCGATTATAATGCTAGTGATTGTAAAAGAAAGCAAGTTACATGCACCCATGTACATTCTGATCGGGTTTATGGCAGCTCTTGGGTTTATACAGCCAATATTTCTTGTTCCAAGAATGTTAATCAGTTTTCTGTTTGGTAGAAATATGATTTACAAAGATGAATGTCTTGTTCAAACGTTTTGTCTGCATATGGCAGGTTGTTTCCAGACGTCAATTTTAGTTTTGATGGCAGTCGACAGATTTTTTGCCATTATTTTTCCCTTACAGTACCATGACTATGTAAACGTTAAAACATCAATAATATTCTGTTTGTCCTTTTTTTTCCGTAACTTGCTTTGTGTTGCTTCGATGGTCGGCCTGATTGGGCCACTCTATTTTTGTAAATCAAATGTGATTTATCATTGTGTTTGTGAGCATACATCAGTTGTCAATACAGCCTGTGGTGATGTGAGCAAGAACCATATGGCTGGAACAATCGCTTTCATCATAGTATCATGTGACTGTGCAGTTGTAATCTGCTCTTACATTGTTATTTTTGTCATTATATCTCGCTCTCCTTCTGGTGAGTCACGCCAAAAAGCCATCTTGACATGTAGCACACATTTAATGGTCATAGCGTTGGCATTTTTCTGTGTTCTTGTTGCATTTGTTGGCTACAGGGTGCCTACCATACCTAGAGATATCCGCGTGTTGAGCACCTTGTCATACCATCTTATTCCGAACTGCTTTAACCCAGTAATCTATGGAATTAGAACTAAGGAAATCAGAGTTCAGGTTGTTAAATATTTATCTAATAAGGTTGAATCATATTAACTTTCTCTCTTTCATTTTACTTTAACGTTTTTTTTCCCCCCATCTATTTATGGAAACCTTATATGGCCAGATTTGGCTCCATGCAGGTTTGGGCTCCTTGCCACTGTCGCCTGTGGCTTGATTAGTTTGGGACACTTAAAATTCAACAATATAATGTATCTGACTGTACTGATGCTGTTGTATGAGAACTGGACTGAGCTAGATGATTTGGTTTCACTTTATTTGGATGGTCCCTTTAACACATTCATTTGACTAAGTAACGTTGCACCTACATCTCTACTAACTCTCACTAGAGTGTTAGTAGAGTATTAGTAGACTGGTAGGGTTAGGGATAGAATAAGTTACTTATCAGTAGAATGTCTGTTGGAGGAGCATCAAAATAAAGAGTTGGCAGACAGTCTACTAATACTCTAGTGAGAGTTAGATGACATGTAGTTGCAAAATTACTTATATAGTCAACAGAATGTGCAAAAGGGGCCATCAAAATAAAGTGTTACCGACTATATCAATTAAGGTGACTTGACTTAATTGATATAGTCGGTAACATTTGGGAAAAAAACATTTGCTGTAGTTCTAGAATAATAATAAACCTCACATTTTATATATCAAGTAAATGCAAGTCTTTTGTAATAGATTATAAATGCACTTTAACATCACATCTGAATAAATGAAGAGGAAAACTGTACAGCCTTTTTAACCACTATTGATTTTGCAATGTAAATTTAAAGCAAATTCAAATAGGTTTAAATAGATTTTCACAACTGTAATAATCTGTCAAAGTAAAAAAATTGGCTCACTGTCCTTTCCCAATCCTGTTCCCCTCTCTCCTCCCATTGTTAGGCACTTTATTTACATTTTTAAATATCTTTTCTTAATTTTCTTTCAAATTGAATGCCTCTCCGAACTGATTAGTGATGGGTGCTATAGGGAGAAAAATGGGATCGGGAAAGGGTGACTGGAACTGGAACAGGTCGCTCAAAAGCTAAACTTGCTGTTTACGCCACTCTCCCACTTTTCAGATCGGGTTGTTTTGCAATTTTGTCTGGCCCAACCAGACAGTGGTGGGCAGATTAAATATAATTGTTTTTTTCATAATTAGTCACACTAAATTAACCGGTTAAATAGACAACTCTAATATTTGCACATGTGAATCAACTTTCTACTGCCACTGCCTGCTGTACTTTCTGCATGTCTTGATTAACAGATGTCTTGTCCAATCAGCTGTGTTTAATTCGCAAAATATACCTACCTTTTCCGTTTTGTCTGACTTGTCATTGTGTTTTCACTTACTGCTAAGCAGATGCCATATGACTAATAAAGACTAATGCCATTGGATTCTGAAGCCACAAGAGAATTCATGACAGCACAAGTTAGCACACTGTATCAGAATTGTGACTTCTAAGCCAGTATAGGATTAAGTTCCTAAGCAAAGTTCTTCACTTTTTTTTCTTCACTTTTTCACACAAAGTTTGAAACACCTAAGCAACGGTATACTTTTAGCGAATATCCCAACACCGCCTATACTACTGGGAGCTGTGTTTAGACTAATATGTAAATATTTGCAGCACATTTACCTCTCAATAACAAATTAAACACACAACAAAAATTACAGTGGTGAGAAAATAGCAGTTAAGAAAGCATCTGTTCATAACTATGTTCGAGCTCTGATATTCTGATCTCAAGTCAAATAAAGTCACTTGATGTTTGAATAACACTTTATACAATTTAAAGCCAGCAGCTTTACAGTATTAACTGTAAGGTAGGCAATTTTTGGAGAGGACAGCAATAGCAAGCTAGCTTTGAAAGCATAAGATCCCATCCTCCCTTAGAGCGTCTCCAAAGCCACATCTCCTTCAAACCATATGAACGCACACAGCAGAGTCTGCAAAGCATCACGAGACGAGATACGGCGTTACATTACTGCATGTCTACAATAATAATAAACGTAATAAACTTACAGAGCTCTTATTCAATCACTGGGCAGAATGCCCTTACAAAAGGAAAATATATTTACCAATATATTATTGAAATATATTGTAATATTTTATTTTTCCTTTCCATTTTCCAATATATTATATATTGGAAATACATGGAATAATATATTAATGATACAATATAATATTATACAACATATTATATATTCATGTAATATACTGCAATATATTGCAAAATATACAAATGATTGTCGCTTTCAATATATTGAAAATGAATATATAATATATGTGTTTGTATATCCCAAAATATATGCAATTTTATATTTATAAATATCGACCATAATGTATTCCGATTTAAATGGGAAAATGTATTGATAATATAATGGGCCCTATTTTAACGATCTGAAACACAAGTGTCAAGCACAAAGCGCAAGTAACTTTGTGGGCGGATCTCGGTGCTGTTGCTATTTAACCGGCGGGATAAATGCCTCTTGCCCTCGACGCAAATCTAAAAGGGGTTGGTCTGAAGTAGCTTCATTATTCATAGGTGTGGTTTGGGTGTAACGGGAAACAAACCAATAAGAGCGTCATAGCACATTCCCTTTAAGAGCATGATGAACGAGGTGCGCTTGTTCCATGGCGCGATACTATTATAACGGCGCATTTACCAGGCGCGCTTCAGAATCGGTTCACAGCCGAGGAGATCGATGTTCTCGTCAGGGCCGTAAAAGAAAGAGAATTGACATTGGGGATGGGACAAACAATGATTTCCCTCGTGTTTTAATATTTTTCCTTATAATAATGTATCATTTGCAAAATGTAAAATGCATCAGTGTAGATGAGAGAATCATCTACAGTGTATGCGCGTTGTTCACACTCTGTATTATGGCCAAGCATGCGCCCTAAAATAGCATCTGAATGTACGCGCAACGCGTCACTGACTTTAGACTAGGTTTTTTCTGGTCAGTGGCGCAAATGTTTTCTGGAACTGCAAAAAAGCACCAGGGATTGTTTAATTGCGCCGGAAAACACTTTTTTGCGCTGAACTGCCCAGGGAGCGCAAGTTTAAGTTTGCCAGCGTGCGTCTGTGGAGGGAAAAGTCCGCTTTGCACGGGTGCAAAACACAAATGATACATGCGTCGGTGTACAAAGTCAATTGCGCTGGATGCAAGATAGGGCCCCATTGTGTCACATGTATGTTTAATATATGGTAGAATATATTTTAAATATATGTAAGATTATATGACAATATATGTACATATATATTGTAAAATGTATGCACAATATATGTGTACATATATGAGAACATGCCCATACAATGTATGTACATATGGAGATATACAGAATTCCAGTATTTTGAAAAATATTAGCATTACTTTCCAATATATGAAAATGTATTATGTAACATATCGCATTAGTATATTCCCATATATTTCTGTTCCGTAAGGGATATTTTGACATTTTTGCTAAAGAAAATTACTTTACTGTGATGCTTTACTGCCTCCTTGTTGCTGGCGTCTCTTTCCCTGTTTAACGGTCCTCTCCTCATGCCTGAATCACACCTTCCCGCTCAAGGCGGAGCTCGCGCTGGTTGAAGCAGTCGGTGCTGAGTGCTATCAAAGAACGTATATTGACAAGAAGTGAAAGCCAATAGAACGTTCCATTGTGTGGCCAGGCTGGTAGTGGCACTAAAAGAGGAATCACCACCAGAATCTAACTGTCCGACAACGCCACCTGGGGACTTCCACCCCAGGAAATGCTCTATTTCTGCTTTGACTAACCCTTTATACAAAGGCTACACAGGTTTATTGAAGTAAGACAGAGACGTGGTCCCAAAAGAATAACTTATTTATTGATAATCGGTAACTGGAAGTGCCTGAAAAGAGGATGGTCAATAATACAAATAAATAATCAAATTACAAGAGAATATAGAAGTTTACAAAGTAGTATACGAATTACAAATTTGGCAAACAAGCAACTTATTTTATTTATAACAAAACACACTCCCAGTTATTACTGATTATTGAAATAAACAAAAAGACAGTGGGCCAGGGCCAGCTGTGGGGAGGCAATCTAACTAAGAGGGTGCTCCAGGGATGCGCCAACTTACCCACCACATGTGCCCACTGCAATCAATAGTCACTGCAAACCAGTTCACTGCAAATCGTGTCCCCAGTGCTATTAACAGTACAATCAGTGAAGGAACCCACACTAGCGTGCCTAGCCTCTACCACAAGCCGACCACTAGAACCACTGAAAAGAACAAAACACAAGACAAAAAACAAGTTAAATAAAACACAATAGATCAGTTGGTTATATCTAAAATACAAGCATAATCAACTAGGGGAGTGCCACCTGGAGGCACAACAGCTGGGGAGTACCAGCAACAATTGTGACTATCCTAATTTAACAAAGGCAAAACAGCAGCTGACAACCTAAATTAAAAACACATGCATATTAGCAACAAATTAATAAAAGTAAATGGGTCATTATCCGAAAACGTGCCATTTCACACTTTTAATGTTTGATTTTCAAAGTACTGTTTTGAAAATCTTTAAGCCCCTTTTTGGATGAAGTAAATCCCTACCTTTCATATAACCAACGTAAATGTGTGTGTTTGGTCAACCCTGTTACCGACATAATAATTACTTTTTGAAAAGGTTTTAAATACATAAGTAGAACAAATCTGATATACCGTGAAAGATTTTGGAGATAGATCTATTGAGATATTTTAGCATAAAAATTATGCAAAATTATGATGATTCTGCAAATGTAAATGTAAACCAATTGTTTTATTAAAACATTAAAATTACATTGCAATTAAATGATCAATTGAACATGTTTGGCCTTAACAGAATAAGCAAAAATCACTAACGATCACTTACTAAGGGCCACTATAAAAAAGTATAAAACAACAAAATGCAGATCATACGATTATGTAGGCATTTGGTGAGTGTGTTGTAAAATAGAGGAAGTAAACTGGTTAAAAATCTTATTTCTAGAGAAATTGGGTTTAAAGATTAGACACATTTCATAGTGGCCATTTCCTGCTTCTATCCTGAGGGTGAGTGGTGATGCAGCGATTTATTTTGTTAAAAGGATAGTTCACCCCAAAATGTAAATTCTGTCAGTAATTACTCACCCTCATATTGTTCCAGACCCAAAGACTTTCGTTCATCTTCGGAACACAAATTAAGATATTTTGATTAAATCTGAGAGCTGGATCACTCCTCCATGCTTCTAAGGGATCGGAACTTGCTGGCCCAGAAAAGTTATGAAAGACATCGTTAAAATAGTCCAAGTGACTGCAGTGGCTCAATCTTAAGTTTATCAAGCGACGAGAATACTTTTTGTGCGTAAAAAAACAAACAAAAATAATGAATTTATTTAACTATTCATTCCTTCTCTGTGGGCCTCTAGTGAGTTCGCGTAGTGTAACAGCGCAGCGCTTCTGTGCTGCTGTACGTCACACGCAGGCTCACTATTGGCCGACGCTGGTCATGTGTGTGATGCGTGTGACGTTCAACCAGAAGCGCTGCGCAGTTACACTACGTGAACTGACTCAAGGCCCACAGAGTCTTACGGGGTTGGAACAACATGAGGGTGAGTAATTACTGACAGAATTTTCATTTTGGGGTGAACTAACCCTTTAACCATTCCCGCCTAGCAGACAGTCATTAGTCCTCAACTACGTCCACAACAACGTTTTAAGTACTGGCGCTTAGGACTGGAGAAAAAGGACTCGGTAAAGGAAAAGCTAACTGTTGAAGATGTTTGGCCTTAACAGAATAAACAAAAGCCACTTATAATCATTTAATTTAACATTCCTGTCTGCCTACCCAACAAGTTTTGACAAGATGTCTTTCCATATTTCTATGTGCCGTGCGGTCACATTAAGAGGAGCAGGAATCATTCTTAAAATTTCATCACCAGATGCAGTCCTCACGGGCTGGCAAGAAATATCTATTCGGGCCGCTTTTTCCCTGTGTCTCTGTCCTTTCTCCATTTTGCCCTCTCTTTTCCTAAATATGCTTCTTGTCTCTCAGGATCAGCATCTCTACGTTGTCTGTATCTGCGCTGTTTCTTCAACCCAATCTCACGGCAATTCATACGAATTTTACGAGGTGGCTAATTCGTAACAATGCGTACGACCTTACTCGTACAAATTAGTAAGATTTTTGCTAAATCGTACGTATTTTACGAGTTGCCAAATTCGTACGAATGACCTACCCCTGACCCCGCCCCTAAACCTACCCATCACGTGAGGTCGTGTGAATTCTTACGAATTAGCCACCTTTTAATCACTCGTACAAATTCGTACGAATTGGTCGTCAGATAGCGTTTGTTTCTCAGCTGCAGAAAGAGGCATCCTAACAAAATCAAATACATAAAACACTTTAACAGCAACCTTGTTAATTTATTGACTTCTCATAATAAAAATAATAATGACTTGGTTTTTTTATAAATTTATAAAAAAAATTAAAATAATTTTTTATTTAGCACATTTATAAAACCCAATGCACTTGTGTGTATCAGTATAGATCCGTAACCTCAACACATTTTAGCCTACCTATCAGTAGAATAAATAAAAAACATGATTTTTAGGGATGAAAACTGTAAAAACATGTATATTATGTAAATACTATTAGTAAGAAAAGTACGTCTGTGAAAATTCTCAGTCATCCAGGTCATAGTTATCCAAGAAGGGTTGGCTCAGGGGTGACAACCCCACAGAGGTTCAAATACCTGGCACTCCCCATCAGTCATTTAGAACTGAAGAAACCCCTTGGATGAGAGGCAAAATATCTTCAAATATGGAAGTACCAAGTCCAGTTGTCCTTGATTTAACCCGTCTTGGGTATACAACATGGGTAAGACACACAAAGCATATAGTTTCGTCAACCCTGTTAGTGTTACCCTGGAATGGTAACAGGGTTGACGGTAACAGGGTTGGTGAAAAATGTTATTGGCGGCCATTACTAGCCATGAGGTATACGTAATAACACTACATAATGTGCCTTAATGAGAGGCTTAAATGTTGTTATATATGTACATTTTTAAATATGTACAAATAACGTTTTAATGTATGCTTTTCTGGTAACAGGGCTGACACAATGAGCGTGTCCCCATCTTGCAGACATTACATAAACTAAAAAAAAATCATTAAAAGAAGAGAACACTTACTTGTCTTCTACCATCAACTTCATGAAAGGCATGATGTCATTTCCTGGAACTGATGCAACTTTGGGGTGTCCATTTTCTTTAAATAATAAAATCACTGTATATGGTATTTTGGATGGCTGATAACTCAATATGTTCCAGCCGTCACCGTGACTCTGGCCAATTTTCTGGCATTCCTCTGGACTGGCATTGAATCACTACAGGACAAGTAAGGTCCCGACAACTGCTTTTAAAAAGCCATTTCTTTAAAGTTATTCAGTTGATAAATAGTTCTCTAGGAGAGAGCATAGGCTAATTATTTCCCAAATCATAAGTCTGCTATGCTATTACATATTGATAAACCTTGTGTATTTGCTTACAGTAGCAGTTATTAATGTTAATGTAGTGCTAGTCATTTGTCCTGCATTAGTTATTGATTAGTTTTGCGTGAATTATTAATCTTTTTCAGTAGTTATCTGGGAAGCATTAAAAAATAGTAGTTATCAACTAGTTAATAGTGAACTACCACTTTCATCTATGCGCTATTACTTACTAATTCGTTAATCAGAATTTCTTGTTAGTAAATAGTAGTTACTAGTTTGTTAATATTGTGTTACTCATTTGTTCCTGTGTAGTTATTCATTATCGAAGGAACCGTATTCTAAAGTGTTACCCGAAAGTCTTACGGGGTTGGAACAACATGAGGGTGAGTAATTACTGACAGAATTTTATTTTTTGGGTGAACTAACCCTAACATAATGTCCAGCTTACTTAAGCTGGACTATGGCACTATTTTCTTCTAGACCTGCTGTACAGCCGAAACAAACTTTGTTGCATTATTTTCCTGTTATTACTGAAAGGCTGCTTTGAAACAATCTGTATTGTAAAAAGTGCTATATAAATAAAGGTGACGTGACTTGACTTGTCAATGATGTTGCAAGAGTTTACACTGCCTTACTGGACAATTAGAGAAAAATAAAATAACCAATAATTTTAATGTTACACTCTTTAGATAATTATCCAGTTGCACTTACACTATCTATGCTATAGCAACTAAAACCACAAACATGAACCCCCTCAGCAGAGCTAATTAACCAAGACAAAAATGATCTAGTAATTGGTTCATTCTTCCTGCAACAATAATTTCATCTGCGTGTTTGAGTGGATGAAATGAGGTCATTACAAGGTCAGTGGCTGTATAGTTTGTTGTCATTCCTATGGGAGTATAGATCAAACTCACTGTATATATACTCCCATTCGAATGGCTTCAGGTCTTAATGTGGGCCCCTATTCTACAGCGAATGACCAAACGACAGAGAAACCAAGACACTCAGGCAGGTATGTTTCCATGCAGCCGAATCTGAGCAATTATGAACAAAGTGAACATAACATTTTTTGTTGTTGTTGTTGTTGTTTTTTTCATTTAAATGTAAGAATGAATGTATATTTATATTAAAAAAATAAACTTGTAAGACTTATAATTGCCTTTGTTTTGGGATGGTTACCAGTGATGTGATTGTTGTGATGTTGCAATTTTCCAATTTTGACAACATTTAAAAAAATAAAAAAACATTTTTATTTGTTTTGTTGACAGGTCTTTTAATGTACAAAAAGTACTTTGTTGTAGTTACTACCTATGCAGGCAGGGTGAGAAATAGCCTGGGTACAAAGTCATGAAATGCCAACAAGAATGTTGCTCGTGAAAAAATCTTTAAGAAAGGCTGATAGAGGATACATTAAATAATAAATACTCATACATTAGTACCAGACAATTGGTGGATATTTCATAGATGATGCATTTGCTATAATTTGGAGTAATTGTGTCTAGCTTTCAATTCATTGAGTAGCTAAATATGTGATGACGGCCATTTAATATAGAGGTCACAATGTGTTGCTAAACTATATGGCTCATTCCAAACATGATGTTCATTTAATTCCATCAAGTGATTAATAATAATCATTTTGTACTTACCCTGTAAAATAGGTTGCAACGACCACATTCAGAGTGCCATGATTGAGGAACTCCAAGAAGCAAACATCTCACATACAAAGTTCTTATTTATGGGATTTCCAGAGATCTACAAATACAGACGTCTGCTTTTCCTGCCATTTTTTGTAAGTTACATTTTGGTCGTGTTGGGGAATTCTTTGTTGCTTTTCGTGATCAAAAATACAGAAAGTCTTCACAGTCCAATGTACATTCTAGTGTCTGCTTTAGCGGTTGTCGACATCATTGTACCCACTGCCATTATCCCAGCAATGCTTCTTGGTTTCCTCTTTGACTTGAATGAAATCTCTTTAACCGGGTGTTTGACACAAATGTTTGTTACTCATTTCTTTTCTTCTGTAGAGTCGACCATACTTTTAGCTATGGCTTTAGATCGCTTTGTGGCCATTTGCAAGCCATTACATTACACTGAAATCATGAACTCGGCCATGTTTTTTAAACTGCTTATTTTTACATTGATCAGAAGTGGCACTATAATGTTTGCACTGGTTGCTTTGGCTTCACTTTTGTCTTTTTGTGGGTCTAATGTGATCCATCATTGCTACTGTGACCACATGGCTCTTGTTAGCTTGGCCTGTGATTCAATAAGCAAAAATAATGCAATGGGATTAGTTGTGATAATCTGTTTTGTGGGAATTGACATATCTGTTATTTTCTTCTCTTATGTGAAAATCTTGCATGTTGTGTTGGGGGCTGCAGCTGGAGAGGATCGTTGGAAAGCCTTTCATACCTGTGGTACACACTTAATGGTTATGATGTGTTTTTACTTTGTGGGGAGTATTACCTTTCTATCACGAAATCTTAACATTCCAATCCCAATCGATGTAAATACCTTTCTGGGTGTTACGTATATAGTATTTCCTGCAAGTGTCAATCCGATCATTTATGGTGTGCGAACAAAAGAAATAAGGAATGCTTTATTGAAAATGTTCAAAGTAAATATAAATAAGGTTTCCATTGTAAAGGTTTCAACGATAAAGATTTAAGTGTCTGGAAAGTCATTCAATTTGACACTTTGTCTCTCTAGTAATCTCAGCCACTGAAATAGAAATGTTTGTTGTCCTATAAAGTGACTTTCATTGTCAGAAATAGTGATCATCGCCAATGAATAAACCATGTTATCTGCATCCTCAGAGGAATTAAAGTCTGTTCAACTATAAGTTCCTGGTATAACATCTTGTTTCATCTTCATCTTGTTAATGGAGAAAACATTTGGGAATCACTGTCTTGACTTACATACCAAGTGCTGTTCTGTTCACTGTTTCATGTAGTACACTGTAATAAATGGATTAAATGGATATTCTGTAATAAATTGATTTTTTTTTCTATAAAATTGAAGTTTCAATGAAAATGGAAAAAAATGGAAATGGAATGTGCTTGTAGCTTTAAGATTACATCTTACCTGCTAAAAATCAAGTGGAGGGATCAGGAAGTTACTAATATTACAAACAATTCAAAAACAATCCTGTTTTATTACAGTTAGGTGCATACGAACGATTATAAAAGTGGAAGCAAACGTTCTCATCAGCCTCTTTTAACAAGAAATATATGGTTTTGGCTTAATGTATTCAGTAATTATAGGTAGTATTTAGTCATTACACTGATGCCCTGAAAGATGCTTAATCCAAAGCTTTCTCCAGGACGACTACAGTATATCTGCATTTAGTACACTAAGTTTTGGATGAAAGTAGCCTTCTATAAACAACTTAAAAAAATTAAAAGTTGTGACCTCTAATATCTGTGCATATTTAGGTTCATTTCATAAGTCCCACGAAAACAGCTACAAATTAAATTACACATTGCCACTGCAGTATCTGTTTACATGAGAAGGCACAGGTTGGTAATTTGCTCAAACTCATTATTGTGCTAACTCCAACGAAAAGGCTCTAAATTAAGCAGGGACAACAGATTAAATGAGTTTAGGGATCATCCGAAAATCCCAAAGTGATTAAGTGTGCAAAGAGACGGCCAATTATAACCACTCCAAAACTAATTAAATAACCATCTACGATACATCTGCTCATAATTGGCCACTCATGACTGAGTTACTCAAAATGTTAATGAACACAACTGACTAGGTAAAGTAAACAAAAGACCAATTTACATGACCATGTGTGCATATTGTTTTAGATAGTTTAGTTTATTTGTATATCACATTTAAAAATAACGTGAGGTGGCCAAAGTGCCACTAAGTGCCATTAAAAAAATATTCCAAAAAATACAAAAAACATTAAACACCAAACGAAAAAGACGCTTAGAACACAAGACAAAGGTAAAACAAGGTACAATCAACTGCTAGCTCAACCATACGCATGGGAAAGGAAATCTGCTCTCAAACGTGATATAAAAATACTAAATGTAGTACAACTTCTAATGTCCAAAGGCAGGTTATTCCAGAGGCAAGGTGCAGCAACAGTGAAGGCACGATCCCCTTTGGACTTTAGACTAGATTTAGGGATATTTAACAGTAATGTTTGAGATGACCTAAATGGCCTTGTCGTCTGATAAACCTGGAAAAGATCCTAAATATATTCCGCTGCTAGACATGCAAGGCCTTAAAAACAAACATTAAAACCTTAAACTGGCCGCTGAAATTAACTGGGAGCCACTGGAGTGAAGCTAGTACTGGGGAAACACTGACCTGCTTCTTGGTCCCAGTCAAAGCTGCTGCATTTTGTTAGAGTTGAAAGCGATTCAACATTATACAAGGAAGCCCATAGATATAATGTATTACAATTGTCCAACCTTGAAAATATACAAGCCTGTATAACCTGGGTTTAATTTTTGCATTGCGCCTTAAATGAAAGAAGCCAGCCTTCACCACAGAAGCTCTGAATCAAAGACACCTCCCAGATCCACTCAAAAAAATGGTTTTGTGGCACTGTTCTTTTTTACCCCAATATTTTTTGTTCAAGTAACACACATATATTTCTTTTACCACCAAAACACTATTGTATTGCGTTTAATTAACTTAACCTGTATAATTTTCCACTATACTTAATTATCAATCGTTAAACTAATGTGAAGGGTTTCATTTTGCGATTCAAAAAAATCCGGATGTGACGATTTCCAACGTATTGGATGAAGATGGCTTGTGAAGAAGGTGGCAAGGTGCATGGCCTTGGAGAAAATATAAAGTTAATCTAAAGGCAAAGTTTTTCATTCCTGTTAGTATTTCGGAAAGTCTTTTCTGGAATGCTTTAAATATATTGCAATGAAAAAAGAATATTGTTCAAATTGCTTCAAATTAGCTTAAGCAACACAATTGCTATACATTTTGTCCAAACTTAATTTGATTGTGTTCAATCTGCTTAAATATGTAAAATGAAAGTTTACTTAATCCGTTTGGGTTGGATTACATGAATGATTTGTGTTGCATTAACTGAAACTGGGCGGTGCTTGTTAGTTCCCAGCATGCTTTGCATATAGCTGAATTAAGAGAGAATAAATGTTGAAATTAAGTGATATTGAATGTGTTTTTGAGAAAATGAGGAAAGGGGAAGACTTTATAGTGTGTAATTGTGTTTAATGTTCAATTACATTGCAATTATTAGAACTATTTAAATTAGTGGGTTACCATTGTGGAGAAGAGTGGAGCATTTGGTTAGGATGTGGACTGATTCAGATAAAGTCTTAGTCATCTTGCTGAAAATGCATATAAATTTTAGTATTTAAATGTTAATATGTGCTATTATTAGCTAAAAGCTGGCTATAGTCTACAAATCCTACATACTTTTATTTATCAGTGCAGTTTTAAAAAAAACTAAAGCATGTTCACTAAACTTAACCGATTTAAGTTACAGGGAAGCAATTCCATTGATTTGTTTGGACATTACTATTTCACATAGATTCTCTCTCATTCAGTTGTGTTGTCACAACCCAAGGAGCTTACATAGATTCAAAATAATTTGATTGTGTGGAACCACTGTCCATAATTATATTAAGTTAGTTTTAATACACACACTTTTTTGAGTGTATGGACATTAGAGGCGAGAGGGCCTAAACAGTCAAGTATGTGAGTGGGTGACCTAATGGAGCCAAATAGTAGGCATTCTGTTTTAGCTTCATTAAGTTGTAAAAGATTATGTGCCATCCATAATTTAATTTCACTCAAGCAATAATTCAAAGCATTTAATGCAGTACCATCACCTGCCTTCAATAGAAGATACTAGGGCTGTTGGAACGAATTCCGAAATTCGAATATAATTCGAATATTAAAAAAATCAATACTATTCGAATGCTGAAGTTACTATTCGAATATTGTTTTTTTTTTATGTATATTTTAATTTTTTTATATATATAAACAGGAAAGAGGCCGCACTATGCATAAATTGTTTTATTTGCACAAACGCGTTTCAAGAAGGCACGCGCCGAAACGCGTTTGTGCAAATAAAACAATTTATGCATAGTGCGGCCTCTTTCCTGTTTAACGTTATATATTCTAATCATCAGGCCAGCATTCTTAAAGTTTAAGTTTAATCATTGAGTGAAGCCTGCTCCTATTCCCATTCATTAATTTTTTTATATGGAATCATGCCTTTCTCGCCACCTTGACTTACACACATGTGAAAATGAAATGCTTTTGTTTCGTCTGATGAACAATAACGTTTTTGAATCGTAACACAATTGTGCATGTTATCCACGCTGTATCATCATAACAATACTGTCAAAAATGGTAAATGTTTAACAACGTAAAAAAGCGCCCGCGAAGCGCAAATACCTTGGTGAAAACTCAACGGATTCGGCGAGCACCAAACTCGTTGGAACCGTCTAGTCGAACTGAAAAGAACGATATAAGTTTCAGAATTTTTGGTGGTGTTTTAGCGGAGATATTAGCCGAAAACCATCGGTAGCGCTTCAACCATATTCAGCACGAATAAAATGTTTATTGTAATGTTAGATGTCCCTCTAGCGGACAGAACGTGTAACAACAACCACATGCTATAGTGGCATTGGCTATCCATAAGCCTGAGTAATGTCGTAAATATTAATAATAGGATGAATTTGAGCATTTAATATTCGAATATTATTCGAATATTAAAAAAAATAAGGAATGGAATTCGAATAGTATTATAGAGGAAGATTGACAGCCCTAGAAGATACAGTTGAGTGTCATCTGCATTACAATGATATGCAGCATTATGGGCTCTATCTTGCACCCGGCGCAAATTACTTTGTACACTGACGCATGTGTCACAAGGTGACAAATCTAGCGGAACTAATTTCCGCTAGGAGTGTGTTTCCCCCCGGGACGATTTCACCGGCACACCGTGCTGGTTTGCTGTTGTCAGTTGCCATGACAGCGGCAGCTGATTTAGCTAAGCGGGACCAGGTGCGGGTGTTTGGTGTGGGGATTTGTGATTGGGAAACACGACCAAAAGAAGCAGTTAAAAGGAAAAGGAAAAGGCATTCGAGTGTGGTACTCCCCCGGGAGAGATCGATTCCTTTGGCAGTGGCTTGGGTTTGCTGGGATCTTTGGAGCGGCTGTGAGGATCTGACTGGAAAGGGGTGCAACGGTGATTGAGTGCAAGCTGGAACGTGAATTGGATGTGAAGTGAGTGAATTGTGGAGATTGAGTCAGGATTGGAGAATACCATCACTCGAGGGAGAAAGATAAGTAATGAAACACCGGATCCGTTTGAATGCATGTCTTGCACTGAATTGGATAAAGAATTGTGAAGTGTATTGACCACAAATATAATTACCACTAAGAGTGTGAACTGATTCATCTTTGAAAACCCTGATATCTTCTTCTGAGTGTGAAAGAGTGGTGAAGACGCTGTGTTCCATGCGGTGCGAAATCCTCTGCATCTCATCAGCTTCTGAGTGTGGAATCAGCGCAACAGTGGAGGGATTGAACATTGGGTGAGTGCTGGCCTTATTGCACTAAGATTTGAGAGTGGATTGCGGTGCCTGAATTGAAGTGTCACACAGTATTGGACTTGACGTGAAGTTGCAGTGTGTGGATGTACATGTTTATTTAACCGCCAGTGTTCTCCAGTTCACATTCTCGCCAGTGTTTGCGGAACGAAGCCCTCAGGTTGGATGTGTATAGTCCACTTCGGCCACCAGGTCCTATGATATGGGAGAGGAGTGTGATTGTCCTGTTTAACTTGTCCTGTCTATCTAAATAGAACGTTCCTCTGCCACCGCCTTCGTGTTGCCTGTTCGGAAGAGAGACACACCCCAGCCTTCGTGTTGCCGTGGGAACAACCCAGTCCAGCCGTAAGCCTGATTCCCCATTCTACGAAAGGATCATGTTCGTTCTTGTGTCAAAGGCTTTGTCTAT